CAACTCAGTTTGTCAAAAACATTGGATTGGGGTGTTTGATTCCCCCTGGGTCCGCTTTCGCATCCTTAGCAGCTCCAGCGGCACATCGCCAGCACCACCTGCATCATCCGCATTAGCGCCTGCCAAGGATGCGGATGATGCAAGTGATGCTGGGGATGTTGCCCATGCTGGTGAAGGAACATCTGGAAATGAAGTGGGGAAAGGGGGGGAACGGATCTCAACAGGGAAAGGGGGGGAAAGATCTCAGGGAGGAAAGGGAGAAGATCTGGGGAAAAAATGCCTTAGGGGGGAAAGGGGGGAAAAGATCTTTGGGAGGAAAAGGGAAATCTTTCTCGGGGGGAACAGGCCCTAGGGGGCAATGGGGGGACAGGATCTCAAACGGGAAACAACAGAGAAAGGGTGTAAAACATCTTAGGGAGGAAAAGGGAGAAGATCTTGGGGGGAAAAGGCCCTAGGGGGGAAAGGGGGGAAAGGATCTCAACAAGGAAAGGGGGGAAAAAAAAGGCCTTAGGGGGGAAAGGGGGGAAAGGCTCTCAACAGGAAAGGTGGCAAAAGATCTTAGGGGAGGAAAAGGGAGAAGATCTCAATGGGAAAAGGACGTAGGGAGGAAAGGGGGGAAAGATCTTTGGGAGGAAAAGGGAGAAGAACTGAGGGTGGGAAAAGGCCTTAGGGGAGACAGGGGGGAAAGGATCTCAATAAGGAAAAGTGGGAAAAGATCTTGGTAAGGAAAGGAGAAGATCTGGGGGCAAAGGCCTTAGGGGGGAAAGGGGAGAAATGATCTCCACAAAGAAAGGGGTGGAAAAGATCTTAGGGAGGAAAAGGGAGAAGATCTTGGGGGGAAAAGGCCTTAGGGGGGAAAGGGGGGAAAAGACCTTAGGAAGGAAAAGGGAGAAGCTCTCAGGGCGGGGAAAGGCCTTTGGGGGGAAGGGGGGAAAGGATCTCAACAGGGAAAGGGGGGAAAACATCTTAGGGAGGAAAAGGGAGAAGATCTTGGGGGGAAAAGGCCTGAAAAAGAAAGAGAGGAAAGGATCTCAACAAGGAAAGGAGGGAAAAGATCTTAGGAAGGAAAAGGGGGAAGATCGCGGGGGGGAAAAAGGCCTTAGGGGGAAAGGGGGGAAATGATCTCAACAGGGAAAGGTGGCAAAAGATCTTAGGGAGGAAAAGGGAGAAGATCTCAGGGGGGGACAGGTTAGGGGGGAGAGGGGGGAAAGGAAAGGGGGGGAAACATCTTAGGGAGGAAAAGGAGAAGATCTGGGGGCAAAGACCTCAAAAGGGAAAGGGGAGAAAGGGGTGGAAAAGACCTTAGGGAGGAAAGGGAGAAGATCTTGGGGAAAAAAGGCGGGAAAGGGGGGGGGGGGGGGGGAAGATATTAGGAAGGAAAAGGGAGAAGCTCTCAGGGGGGGAAAGGCCTTAGGGGGGAAAGGATGGGAAGGATCTTAACAAGGAAAGGGGGGAAAAGATCTTAGGAAGGAAAAAGGAGAAGATCTGGAAAGGCCTTAGGGGGGACAGGGGGAAAAGGATCTCAACAGAGAAGAGGGCGCCTTAGGGGGGAAAGGGGGGAAAGGATCTCAACAGAAAAAGGGGGGGAAAGATCTCAGGGAGGAAAGGGAAAAGATCTCAGGGGGGGAAAAGGCCTTCGGGGGGAAAGGGGGGGAAAGATCTTTGCGAGGAAAAGGGAGAAGAACTCAGGGTGGGAAAAGGCCTTAGGGGGGACAGGGGTGAAAGGATCTCAATAGGGAAAGGTGGGAAAAGATCTTTGGGAGGAAAAGGGAGATCTCAGGGGGAAAAGGCCTTAGAGGAGAAAGGGGGGAAAGGATCTCAACAGGGAGAGGGGGGAAAACATCTTAGGGAGGAAAAGGGAAAAATCTGAGAGGGAGAAAGGGCCTGAAAAAGAAAGAGGACTGGATCTCAACAAGGAAAGGGGGGCAAAAATCTTAGAGGGGAAGGGGGGCAAGGGGACAATTCCAAAGGGACGCAAATAAGAAAGCAGGCCTGTAACGTCGGCGGCCTGATCCGGAGGGGTTAAAATATCGGAAACCCTGGTTTTTTGCACTTGTTTGTGGCTAGCCGGCTGCATTCCCAGCATTCCCCACATCTCTGGTATTTTCTGTGTTTGGTCAACGTTGCGTGTCCGAAAGTCTTAAAATCTTGAGCGCGAAGACTGGGTCTGTTCCCGTAAGTTGTGCGGTTGCACCCCTTGCATTTCCAGCATCCTCAGCATCTGGGAGAAGGCCTTGTTGCACTTACCAAAAAACGGCCTTGCTTTTACACCCTTTCGGGGGGGGGGGGTTGAAAGAGTAGACCCTAGTGTTCTTCTCCTGTCACATGTTCAGCCCTGCAGCCGAAGTCAGAGCGGCGTTGTTTGCATTCTCGTTAAGAGCCCCATGTCACCGAGGCAACAAAGCATCTTTTTCCTTACCCCAAATTCGAAGCACCCTCTCCTTCCACGTGTTAAGAGCCCCATGTGACCTAAGCCAAAAAAAGCCTTTTTCCTTACCCCAAATTCAAGGCACCTCAGAGGGGCGTTGCTTGTTCTCCTTCCAAGCGTTAAGAGACCCATGTGACCTAGGCAAAAAGACGCCCTGCAGCCGACGTCAGAGGGGCGTCGCTTGGTCTCTTTTCACTTGTTAAGAGCCCCATACCTAGGCAAAAAAGACGTCTTTTTCCCTGCCCCAAATTGGCACCCTGCAGCCGACGTCAGAGGGGCGCTGTTTGTGCTCTCCTTCCACGCGTTAAGAGCCCCACTTGACCTAATCTTTTTCCTTACCCCAAATTCGAGGCACTCTGAGGCCGACGTCAGAGGGGCGTTGTTTGTTCTGCCTCAACACGTTAAGAGCCCGATGCGACCTAGGCAAAAAGACATCTTGCTCCCGGCCCCAAATTCGAGGCACCCTGCAGCCTGCAGCCGACGTCAGAGCGGCGGTTGTTTGCGTTCTCCTTCCACGCGCTAAGAGCCCCACTTGACCTGGGCAAAAAATGACAAATTCAAAGCACCCTGCAGCCGACGTCAAGGGGAGTTGTTTGTTCTTTTTCCAGGCAAAAACAACATCTTTTTTACCTACCCCAAAATCGAAGCACCCTTCACCCGTCAGAGGGGCAAGGCGTTGTTTGCGTTCTGCTTCCAGTTTCCACGCGCTAAGAACCCCACGTGACCTAGGCAAAAAAATGAGTCTTTTGCCTTACCCCAAAGTCAAGGTACCTTGCAGCCGACGTCAGAGGGGCGTCGTTTGGTCTCTTTTCACTTGTTAAGAACCCCATATGACCTAGGCAAAAGACGTCTTTTCACTGCCCCAAATTCGAGGCACCCTGCAGCCGACGTCAGAGGGGCGCTGTTTGCGCTCTCCTTCTACGCGTTAAGAGCCCCATGTGACCTAAGCAAAACAAAGTCTTTTTCCTTACCCCAAAATTGAAGCACCCGGCAGCCGACGTCAGAGGGGGGCGAGCTGACTTTGTGCAGCCCTGGTCTGGCAATTGTCCCTTGAGCCAGTGCTGACTCCAGATTGATCAGCCCCAGTTTATTATTAGGGGACTGTCCACTGGCGTCGGCGGATCGCGTAGCGATTTCAATATGATGCCCCTGCTTGAACGCACCTGGTGCTTCTTTTCACGAGGGGCTTTTGCTAAAAAAGGCCCTAATTCGATAAGCCCGCAAGTGAAGCCTTCAACCCAGGAGGTATTGATTTTGCCAAAAGTCCCCCAAAACACAATTGATGGTAAAAGCCGCCCCGCATGAAGATTGGCCCCCCACCCGGGCGGCATTCTAGTGGGCCCCCAATGCCTTGAATGCGCGGGACTGGGCCTCTCCATTGCATCCAATGAAGTACAGCGCCGTATGCGTGTCCTCAAAATGAAGAGCACTGACATTGCTTGACATGAACAAATCACGCAAAGTTGCCTTCTCGCTGCCACGCTGGAATCCATCTCTCGAGACCTGGCTGGGCATGCCCGTGCGTGTTTGAACACCCTGTCCCCATCTCATGATGGTTTGATGTCGCACGCTTGTTCCATGCGCTCATGGAAATAGAAATGCAGTTGTGTTCTACCAGTTCCTCTTCTCAGCTCTCTCAATGCCTCCTTGACAGCCTAGTCCCACACCCTTCTCATAATCTGCCAGCACTTAGGCTCCAAGCAGGCGCCAGCAGCACCTAACCCAAAGCAAACTCAACTTCAGCCGGTCGTCCAACTCTTGGTGGCCGGCCACATAGTCCATACTCGCCTCCAGCAACCAAGCCTGCGCCAGCGTTCTCGCGCCGGCAAAATGCATGCTCCGGGTAAGCGATCAGCAACCACAAATTCAAGGCCGTCATGTGCGCAAATGGCTCTGCTTGAAGGGGCATTGTACTTAGCAAGTGGTTAGTAAGCCTAGTTATAGCCCACTTACGATGGTTATAAGCTATAAGTCTCCTATCAGTGTCATAACCAGGATTGCTAACCACTTACTAAGTACCCTACCCTTTTAAGCGGCAAAATCAAAAGCTTCCGAGCCTTGAGGGGAGCTCCAGTCTGTGGGCCGCAAAGGCGCTGCCACTGAACCTTCAGAGGCCCTCTCATCCTTTTCAACTGGCGGTCACTGGTTTCCTGTGAAGCTGCATTTCAGGCTTGATTCACCAAACAACTTGCTGGTTCTCAGGGAATGAGAAATGGAACGACCCGTATAAACCATCCTGGGAATCCCCTTCCGGTTCATTCCCAACACCCGGAAGGTCATTCACTACCTATCGCACCAGCAAGACAAAAAGGTGCGGTGCTTTCGATATCTTCACTGCGAAAGAGGGTCAAAAGCCCCAAGACTCATCGGCCACCGGCCTCTTCCTGATGACCCGCAGTTGTCGCCCGCAGCGATGTCGGGGGACACCACTGGCGAATCGCGAATCGAATCGCTCTGGGTGAACGCAGAAACTCCAACTCAGAACGTGAATGGATGCAGGGAACACCAAACTTAGGTTTCCGGGTGAAAACCACAAGGAAACACCGTAGAAGCAGTGAATTGCAAGGATGGCCTGGTTGCGAGACACCTCAAAGATGAGCACGGTGTCCAATCCAGCAGGAACCCCTCAGGCCGCAAAACATGGAAATTGTGTTTTGTGAATCGAACAATTGCTGAAACCTGTGCCTTGCACACTGTGGAAGAGGAACAAGTACCTGCCATCGTGAACAAAGAACAGGTCAAAATCTTGTTTGTGGCGCATGGGACTTTAGTGAGCCCCGGTTCGGATTTTGGTGAGCACTGGTTCATTCCCTTGGGTATTTCAAGGGTTTCGCTTGCCGTTCCGTCCGTTTCGACGGCAATGGAGCGCGCCTTTGACCGCCCAGCAACTCCAAGACCTGAGTTGCGTTGGTTCCTCGATTGAAGATCGAGTTCAAGTGGGAGTAAACCTGCGGTCCAATTCCTGGGCTAATTTGACATCCCGAAGCTACCTGCAGGATTTGGATCCGCTGGTAGTTGTTTCCGGCCACGACTCCTAGGGACTGAGGGGTGTGCCTTAATGCGCCGGAAGTCGCAGTGGAGATCGAAGGGGCACTCACCTGGGAAATCGATCGACAGGGCCCGCCCTGCTTGGCTCTATCGAAGCGGACGCCACTCGCCCCCGAGCAGCGGCTTGCTCCAAAGCCTGCCGCCCCTTTGACCTCAAGCATTAGCTCCGCGCGAAAAAAGAACGCGAGAAGAAAGCGGCAAAAGCGGCTTCCATCTGAGGAAATGGCAGAGGAGCACTTTCATCACCTGCATGACCCCGGACTCGGGCAAAGCTGCAATCTCGCCCGGACCAGCCTGGCATTTCACATGTGCATCTGGGTCCGATGCATGACGCTTTTGCGGCCTCTATTGGGGATGGTGCTGGATGAGACAGGACCTGGCACAACAACAACTCAATTGCAAAGGTCTGAAGATGATCCTACTGTGGAACGAAATCCTGCACCACTTTTGAAACCATGGGAAACCATTGTTTGTTGGTATTTTGGGGGAGTCATCATTCCAGGGTTTCTTGGGCCGTGCAGGATTGCGTCCATCCACACTATGGCCCCTCGCAGAAGTTCACCCCACAAGGCTGAGTCTCTGGCCGAGCCACGGCGCCAGCATGGCTCAAACTTTCGAGGTGTGTAGGCAACGGGTGCCTGACATTCAAAAACATGACATGGGGGGGCGTCAAAAAAGCCGCGCGTGCCGGACAATTCTGCGAGTCCCTGCGGTTTGTGCAGGAAATTTAGTGGCCAAAGCGGCTTTGGCTGCCTTCTGGGCGAACTGATGCCATGCACCACCAGCCCACCTCGAAGTGTTGACACTGGATGAATAAAGCTGCCGGAATGGAGGAGTGCTCCTCTCTGAAATAGGACCCCGCAATGTGACATGTCCATCTGATGCCTACAACAAGGAGCTTGCAACAGTGGGTACAATACGGCTCTGGCTACAACATCCGGGCTCAAGGCCATATTGGCAGCTCGATTGCAGCCTCAGGTTCAGGAACTGTGTCCAACTGGTCGGTTGGAAACCAAATGGAAGCCTAACCTTTCCAATGGAAGTCCACAGGCCAAATCAAAAGAGGACCAAATCCGACGGCTTCCAATGGAAGGTTATTGCACGCGCGTCTGGCCCATGGCTCCTCAGCTCACCCAAGCTGTGCACGTCGCTGGACGGTCCAGAACCAGCTACCCACAGCACAGGAGGGCCTCGGGAATGTGGTGCTCAGTGGGGAATGTGGAAATGAACCCAGGGGTCAACTACAAGGAAGCCACCAGGACGGTTTTTTCGGGTCGTTCCCTCATTCCCTGAGAACCAGCAAGGCCGAGGTCTCACTTCTGTAGTTTGGCAAGACAACAAAGCCGAAAAACTGGTTGTTTACCACTATATAAAATGGTCTTCCCTAAAAGTCTAACATCCAAATCTGGGAGTGAGTGGCAATACTTTTGGTCCCTTGAAACCACAAGGCACCCAAAAGTTGCCCACTCCAAATGAATCTTCTCTTGCCATGCCAAGTGGATTGAAGGAAAGCCAGGCTGCGACACAGCGCAAAAGGGAAATCACCGTGTGATCAAACCTTCTGTGCATGGACCCTAAAAAATGTGATCCCGCACTTTTGGAGGTTCCCCTGCCTTTGATTTCCATATCAACTATCGCCTTTGGGGTCTGGTTTGTTTGTTTGTTTGTTCGTTTGTTTGACTGTGGCACATGTCTCGGCGCTCGGCTTGACACGCCAAAGGAGGCCCCTGCGGCTCGTTGCAGCAGGTCCTCAGAGCCCGTCAGTGCCGCGCGAGGATTTTGTTCGTGGCTTGTCTGAGCTGCACACAGCCCGCGCGCAAAAACCGGCAGGATCCTCGAGGAATGAGACACATGCAAAACCCGGGCACAAAAACAGTTCGACAAAAAACGTCCAATTGGAGGGCGTCCCAGTCTGGCCAAGCTTTGCATATCCATATTATGGGTGTTTCCCCTCTGTTGCCCATGAACCGGCGATGAAAGCCAGAGTACATGAAGTTCCAGATGGACAGAGAGAAGGCTGCTCTTGTTTCGGAACCCGGGTGCCTTCTCTGACTCTGAAGGTGTCCCTTTAAACCCAGCAAAACATGGGTACCCTCAACGAAAAGACACACCCAATTCGGAACCCGATTCCTGCCCATGGGGCAACACCAGCATGGCGATCTTTGCTTGCCAGTTCGGCGCTTCTCCGCAGCAACTGCATATGAGCTTGGATTTTTGTCCAGGGTACCCTTTTTGGGGCTGGTTTCAAGGGCTACCAAAAGAAACTCAGCATATATTTGTTTGTTTGGGGGGGGAGGTCCCCATTCTGTCATATACCCGTATGCAAAAACCTGCCTTTCTCCCTGCAATGAGAACTCCGAGCCAAAACGAGGTTGCTTCTGCCAACGTCAGCCTTCAGCGCAGAGCTGAGGTCCTGTTGGCTTAAGTGCTTGAAATGCAACGTTGATGCAAGTCGCCCAACCATCTGCAGCACTCAGTTTCATAGCACATCTTGCAAACTAGACATCCCGGCCACAGCAAGCCACAGCAACAAATCAACAAACAACGATGGCAAGGAGCCCTCCAGCTATATCAAGCAAGAGCTCTTGCTGTGCCCGTTGCAATGAGGCCTTAGCCTACCAAAAAACTCGAGGTGAGAGGCGCACACAGAAACTGACAGGACAGTCTGTGGCTCCTGAATTGGTGCGACTGAGATCCATAGCGATTCCCAAAAGCTGTGTGAAGGAGCCACATTTCGTTGCAAGCCCTAATTGGCCTGCCAAATTTGTATCCTACTTGGTCCTACACTCGGAATCAAAATGAGCGCGGCGGGCAAACATGCACTCCGGCGAGCTACTACCAGAAACCCCCGCATTCTGGTTGGCAGCAAGTGAAACGCAAGCAAGCATTGCGCAGGAAAGGATCCTGAAATGTAGGGGCTGAAATGGGCTGTGTCAATGGAACATCAGTGGCATAATGCAAGCTTCATTGCCGCTCCGCGGAATTCCATCATTGGCTCTGAATTGCATGCGATTTTTGCTAAAGTTCACCTGGGAAACGTGGTCTGTACGAACCTACCATGCATGCCAGGGCTATCTCGTCCTGGCTATCCGCAAGCCTAGCGCAACGCGACGTAACATGACGTAACCTGTTCTCTCTCTCCTCCCCTCAAGCCTCGCCGGGCACAAAAGCAGGCCTTGGGCTGGGTGCATAAACTCCAAATGAGGGCCCCCAATGGCTTCGGTTTTCCGTTTTGTTTCCCCCAAAAAAACGGGTTTCCTCAAACAAAGACACCCCCAAATGGCTCTGTCTTTTGAGGCTGGCCTTTGTGGTGGCTTTAAAGGGAACGAAATCTAGGTCGGGACCCCAAATGGGCATGTGACAAAATACGGGGATCTCGCAAATGGGTGGTCTCCCTTTGCTTGTCCTTGAAACTGATCCGAAAAAGGGTAGCCTTGAAAAAAGCACGCCCACCAAATTTCTCGATCTCTCATGAGGCCCTGGCGCATCAGCTCGCAACTTGGGAAGCTTGGTCTCCTGAAGCTGGGAAGTTGAAGGCACACGGTCCATCGTTTCCTGTCACTTTTGTGCGATACCCTTGGGGCGATGTTCAAGGAAGACCGAAATCATCATTGGACGCGCGGTCCTCGCGCACGCCCACATGAAAATTGCCAAATCCAATTCTTGCCTTCACCACCTACAGGTGCGTCCCTAACTTGAAGCTTCTAGCTGTCTGAACTTGCGCATATATAATCTATCCGAGACCCCCAGCAAAAAAGCGTACCTAGACAAAATGTCAATTGCTGTCTTTCCACCTTGCCGACTGTGTCTGGTTCGCGGTTGCTTTTAGCGGATCTTCACAATATGATACGGGGGCGGGGGACAAACCCGCAAATCCACATTTGGACTAGTGCATCGCCCAGCTGATGCAAGAAAGACTTGCGCCTTTCGCACCTCCAAGCCCATGGTTGTAAAACATTCGGGGCCACTCCTATGACCTACCGAGTCACTTTGAAGGGGGGTCCTTTGGCATCACAGAACATGAACCAAAAACCGATTTGCCACCACCCACTTGGAACCTTGCCCATTCCTTTTGGGTGCGGATTTGTTTCGGGAGTGTTGTTTTTTTCTCGATTTGTTTTCTTCGTTTTTTGTCCGGGCTAGTGAGATATCGTCTTTTACATTTTCTCACGAAATTGAAGTATTTTACACTAGCCGGGGATTCAATCCCTTCAAAAGTCTAAAAAAATAGCGGGGGGTTTCGCAGTGCAATTAAATCTCTACCAAAAGTCTAAACTCCCCCCCCCCCCATGATGTTCGAAGAAGTGATGGTTCAAATAGGGGTGCAATTAAATCTCTGTAGAAAAGGGGGTTGCCCCCCCATGATGTTCCAAGAAATGATGATTCCAATATGGGTGCAATAATTCAAGAAAGGGTGCGATAGAATATAAAATGCAGCGGGAGGGTTGGCGGGGGTTGCTTCCCCTATGATGTTCAAAGAAGTGCATACATACAGAAATGTTGTATTTTACAGCATTTTCTCTCGAAATTGGATGCTCGAGGAAGTGATGAGTCAAATTGGGGTGCGATTAAATCTCTGCAAGAAATCTAAAAATAGCGGGGCGGGTTGGGGGGGAGGCGGCAGCCCCCTAATCATTGTTTTGTTTGATTCAATTAGGGCTGCAATTTAATCTCTGCAAACAATCTAAAAAGTAGCGGGTGTGTTGCGGGGGGGAAGCCCCCCCAAGATGTTCGAAGAAGCGATGATTCAAATAGGGAAGAACTGGTGATGCTGAGGATGCGGGAAGCCGAAGCCAAAACCAATGAAAGGGTGCAAAAGCCAGAAAGCCTGGTGAGGAACCGGGAAAGCACAGGATGCGAAAAGCCAAAGCCACCAAAAGCCGCATAAACCGAAAAGCCAAGAAGCCAAGAAACCAAGAAGCCAAAAGCGAGAAACAAAAACAACGAGAAAAATAATAATACCCCTCCTTTCCTTTTTTGGAGGGTACCCGTTTTGGGGGCGGGGGGGGTCCTCTCATTTTGTGGGTTCCGCTAAAAAAGCAGACCCAGAACTGTTGAGCCCGAGTCCAACTTTGAGAAGTCCTTGTCGTCCAGGTGCGCTGCAAGACTCAGCCTGACAGAACTAGGGCGTTGCGGTTAGGGGAGCACATTTCTTTGGAAACCACTTGTTGGAACCAACATTTGTTGAGGGGAAACCACTTGTTGGATGTTGGCCGCCAAGAAGACCTGGCCTTGGTGGCCCGCGCCGTTCCGGTGGCGGGGTCTGCAGCGGGGTCAAAGCGCCTTGGCCGTCATGCCGACAGACGCTTCAAGCGGAGTGCGCAGCAAGTCACTGGAGCAGCGCCCAAAACCCATTGGCTTTTGGTTCTATGCTTTTAAAGGTGTACTTAGGCCCTTGCTACAATCCTGGAACCACAAAGTGCCAACGTTAGGGGGAATCGGTGTTGGGCGCTGATTCTGGGTGTGGAGCTTGCCAACGACAAGATGGCCGGGCCTCAGGTGAAGCGATCCAGTCAAGTCATCAAGTTCAAAGAAGCCCAGGATTCGTGTCACAGATTGACACTTGATTCTACATGACTGTGAATTTCAGTAGACCTTGACATCATTTCGGCAATTCATGTCCACCACTTGGGTTTTCAATTGAAATGCCACTGCCACATGGTCATAATTAAAACCCGGTATTCAAATGGTCTACCCAAAACCAAAAAAAAAAGGCGGCTGCACCCATCTATAGTGACTATCCCTTACTAACCTTCATCTACCCGGGTTTGGAGACGTGCCGCCCATGGTGATGTTTGCTGGGCCGAACCATGTCCACCACTTAGGTCCCCGGGCTCTGACGCGGCGGTGTCCGAGGACCTACCAGGCACGGCGGAAGGCACAAACAAAGATATTTGCTGGAAATAACCAGGGGGTGGATCAAAAGGTCCGGTAAACATGGGATGACCATTGGGGAAGACACTAAATAGATACGATATTTCAACCATGTGAAAAAGTTACCCGCGGCCAGGAATATTGATCAACCCCCATGTATGTAAGGCACTTGTTCTGGGAAGGTCGTCTTGGGAAACCCGGCAGGTCACCCTACCGGACCTTTTGATCAACCCCCACAGTGACAGACAAAAGCGCCTTCAACCTCTGGTGGAAAGGAAGCGGTACCTGGCGGTAACTTCGCCCCGATTCCGCTGGCAATCACGTGAGCATCTGCGTATTGCTGCTCACTCGCAAAAGCACGGCAAGTCTCGACAAGTCACAGAATGACCAGCTGTCTTTTCCTCGCCCAAAACTCTTGGACCTTCATGCACATGGTTCGGATCACGCCGAGATTCCTCTCAGGCCCCTTAGCCGGCCAAGATTTCTCACTCTGGCTGCATCACAGCAACAACAAGAATGTAGCCCAGGGATCCAAAGGCCACTGTCAAGAAGGTGTAAAAGGCACACAGGTTCTTCCTGCCGATGCATTTCCCCATCCACGGACAGTGGTGGTCATGGCCCTCGATGCACACCTGGATGTGTGTGTGTGTGTGTATTTCTTAGCGTACCCTTCTCTGGGATTGGTTTAAAGGGAAACCGAAAGGGAAAACACCTTCTCTTTTTTTTTGGGGGGAAGGGGGCGTTCCCCCAATTTTGACACAAGCCCGCCTGGCAGAAATGGCAATGTTGACAGCCTCGGGGTTGGGGCAGCTGGCAAATCTGACAGGTCCTGCACGGCTCGGATAATTCCGTCATCACTACCAACAGGGAAACCAATCTATCATCTCTTGACGCCTCTTGACGCTTGAATGGAAATTCAACAAATCCATACCAAATTGCAATGTGTTGAAACAGTGAAGCTCAAATTGACGGGTCCCCGTCCTCCTTGAATTGAGCTCAGCCTCGTTGGGCCTCTGTAGGACTCCTGTCTCAAATGAGATTACTTTTCAAACTGGGGACCCAAACTGGTGAACAGCATTTGCATTGGGATTTGTGTCCGCCAACCATTTCCGAGGATTTTCAGAGAACAAAGAGGAAACAAAAACTTCTCTCCTGGATCTGCCAGAGCACATCGCAGGAAGCTTAACACCGAGAGAAGCGTCACAACCACTCCCCCTGCGATTTGCTGCGCCGGAGCTGGAGCCCTTGCCACGGAAGCCACGTGGAAAAACCCGATGCCCAAAATAAAGCCCAGCATGAGGATGGAGCAATACCAGTGCGGACCAATGTACAAGATGTGGCCACCAAAATTGAAGACCAGTATTCTCCCCAGCCAGCCATGGCTCCAAGTGGCCAGCGAGAGAAGTGGCGGCGTGGCGACATCGAAAGGGCTGTACACTCCAGCTTCGGCCGCCGAAGGCGGCTCCGCGTCCACCGGCATTTATCTCGTTTCTTGGCGCTTTGGCCAACACATGGCGGTGTCAAACCACTGGCTTGATCACTCTGCGCCAAATGGGCAAATCAGCAAATCAATCGCGCTTGGAACCACAAGGACAGAGCGCGAAAGCCCGGGGGGCACCACCGAGCTCCGCAAGAATTCCACTTTGACACACATCCTGCAAAACGCGAGCCGCGAGTTTATTCCCACGCAACGAGCCGTGTGATGCGGGTACGATTTTTAAGTGGCTGGCGGCTGGATGAGGGTTTGTTTGTACCCCATCCACAAACATGGAACCTCACAGAGCCCTGGTTTGGGCCATTTTCCTTGGAGCGGTTCGGTGGGTTCCATGGCAACGTGGACCCCATTTTTGCTCCCCGAAGTTTGTGGCCAGAGCCTGTGCGCGAGCGCTATCCGGGATGCGCCCTTCGGGAGAACCTCCAGGCATTTTCAGAGATCCACTCGCCAACCAGGGACTGCCAATTTAGAGGACCCCGTCTTGCAAGGCAGGGTATTGAAGAGGGGAAACAACAATTTTACACTTGTCACGGGCAAGCAATAAGGTCAGCGCTCCCGCTTGGAGGTGTGACGCCGGAAAGCAGCCTGAGTGCAAGAACTCCGATAGGAGCCTACATGGGTGTCGTTTTTTGGAGGATAGGCTGGCTTTTCTGCAAGGCGATTGTGTCCAATGATACGTGTACACCAACTTGGTTCTGCATTATCTGGCCAGTCTATCAAAGCCAATTTGAATCATCTGCTTCAATTGCAGTTTGAACAGGATTTACCTGCTAACAAAAAATGGTTGTCCTTTCCCAAAAGGAATCTCAACCTTTTTTCAAAAAAAGAAAGAGGAAAGGATGCCAGCAGAATCTCTAGCTTCAATTATAGATTAAATAGGCTTCTGTTTGCAGGGGTGTTCAATTATATGTTACATAGAAATTGCAGTTCAAGAAATATTTTAAAGGTGCTTTCCTTTCGCAGGACATTTGTTTAAATATTCCAAGTAAAACTCAAATAGAAGAGTCTGCGGGAATTATTGTTTTGTGCTTTTGAGACAGTCTCGCGCTTCTTGGGGTCTGGGCTTGTCAGGATTGGTTTGTTTGTGGTGAGGCAGACCCCCAAAAAAATGTGGAATGCTCCCCAACAAAACAGCTGCAAAGCCCAGACAACAACAAGACTGTGTCAAAAACACTGAGAGTCACTAAAAACCAGCCCTGCAGAAAACCCAACCTTCCAGGAGGTACCTTTCTGTTTCTTGAAGGGTATCCCTTTTGGCGATCGTTTTACTGGGAAATCAAAGGACAACTCACCATGTTTGGGGTTAAAATCCTATGACACATCCAAGTATGTCACGATTGCTTCGCCGGCTGCGGCTGGGTCGAAAATTAGTGAGTCAGAGAATCGGCATCTGAGAAGCCAGCAGCGGGGGCAGCGCTTGCCCTCCAGAGCCTCAGCGAAAAACACTTGGCAAAACTGGCAAGAACTTCAGTGAATGCGTTTTTGCCAATTCACATCTCTCACACTGCTGGAGACGTGTTTTCACTTTTTCTCCGTCGTTCCGCCGCCTACGGGCGTCACAGCTGTCTGCCGAAAATAAATCCTGGCCTGTCGCTAGTTTGCTGCAAGCTGCAGCAGCGCTGGCTCCAAAACTACAAGACCCAGTAGGGTGCCAAGAAAGAGGCAGCCGTCGTAATCTTTCGCGACCTGGCGAATCCTAAAGTGAGCCAGTCGCACGAGCATGAGACGAAACCCAGAAACATCATGCTTGGGATTTGAGCCGGCATGGGTAAACTACGTAGGCCCTCTTTGTAAAAAAATGTGGGGCAGGCCAAGTAGATCCTCCAACAAACGAGTAATTTCGTCGGTTGCTTTTGGAAACCCTCTTGGGGAGAGGCTTCAATCGCAAGGGAAAAACAACCTGGAGGGTTGCTTTTGAGACACGGCCATTTCAACCTGCCTGGATGCGCAGCGAGTTTCCCTTTCTGACGGTCGAGGCGACCACTGTATCTTGACAATCTTCCGATAACGGCTGGACGCGCAAACTGATCGTCGAGACATTCTTAGATGAGTGGTCATCGCACACCAATGCCAAACTAACTGAAAGTACACAAGATCCAAAAAAAAACTTCGAGCTTGCTGAATCTGTGGCCGGCTGCTTCCGCCTTGATGGTGGCACAAGGCTTCTGCATGTAATAGAAGATCAAGCCATAGCCGGCCGGCCCTGCAGCGATTTTGCCCACGTAGGCACCCCTCTCATCCATGACGGTCAGCATCACGTTCTCGTCCGCGGTGCTTGCTCGCAACATAATCTTGGACAGCAAAGACTTCAAGCAAAAATGGACCGAATTATCAGATTGAAATGTGTGCAAGGACTGTTCAAAATACAGGGGTGACAGGATTTCCCTTCAAAAGTTGCAATTTACTGGTGGTGTTCATTGAAACTGCCACTGTTGGAGGTTCCAAAAAGGGAAATGAAGGAAGCCCTGACCCTTGGCTAGGCGTCCGCAAGGAACAAAGTCAGCGGTGAACAGCCAAGACTCCTTTGGGCCTTCGCTGTTCTCTGCAGTGATGGAGAGCATGCGACCTTCTGAAAGGCTGGCCTCGGTGTGCGAAAGGAAGCAGCCACTGCCACAAATTCCCGGAGTATAAGGTTTGCTTGAAGAAAATGGCCATCTTTCGAATCAACGTTCAATCCGCGGGGGGGTCCTTTTCAAGAGCACAGTCCAACCTCCGATTCTCCAATTCCATGATGGCATCCGGGCGAGGTGATGTGTCAAGAGATTCGGATGGCGTCAGTTTCTCCTTGTTGGCTTTCCTAACCAATCAGAGAAGGGTACCTTGGGCCTCAAAAAAGCCCGCCCAGGCAAACCTTCCGGGCCAAAACTAAGACCAAAGATGGGCAATAAACGGTCAAATGGGGGTTTGGACTTGTGGGTTTGGCGGTTTGGACCCCAACCATATGCCGCGTTTCCTTTTGACTCGCCCCAAAGGAGCGGGCGAACTGAGCAGGCCTCAACGAAGAGAAAACGGCCCGACGCGGCTCGCCCAGGCCTCCAGCAGTTTGGTCCCGCTGGTGCTGGTGATCTCAAAGGACGGCCTGAAACGACGGTTGAAACGATGCAACCAACGGGGGAAAATGAACAACTGCGACCCTGAAAAAAGAAAAGGAAAGAAAAGGCAACGCAACCCCTGAAAGGGACCCTGAACAAAGGAGATTACAAGGTTTCCCAGTTCAGGTGGTCAGTGCGCGATTTTTCTTCCCCAAATGTCCTGCAAAATACAAAATTCAGGGTACCAACCCTGATGAAAAGCAATCGCCTGTTTGGGGTCGATTGAAAAAAAACATGATTGCAACCGACCCACGTCTCTGGGGGTTTGGGGGGGGCGGGGGGGGCCAATGGTGGCGAGTCCAAACAAGGGTCAATGGTTGGTGGACATGAATCCCCATATAAATGAGGCAGCAAACGTGTCCAAGCTGTATAAAATGTGTATACCAATATGGGTATGGATCTAACAAGAGTCAGAGCCCGCTTTTCGAGGGGTTTAAGCAGGCTGGAGGGATCGGACACGCTTACCAAATTGTAACCAGTGAAATTCTAAAACAAATGTAATTGGAAGACGCAATGAGTATTTAGCTTAGCCAGTCGTCGCTATACATATGGGTCACGAGGTAAGGGTGGTCATCATTGTAAATATTCAGTAGGACCGAGAATGTTTTTTTGGTCGTACTGGATGTGTGAACGCTCTGCTTCTCCGAGTTTTGTCAATGTAGGATTGACTCCCTTTCCGCCTATGGCAAATTTGATGCCCGAGCCCTGAACTCAACGGGTCTCGTTTTGGCCGTTGGAGTTGCAAGCCCTGGCAGGTGGCAGCGTGAGAAAGGAATTCATCCAGCCAGAGCCGCGATATCCAATTTACGAGCTGGCCGGTGTTAGATCATCCACTGAGCGCACACCCCTTTTTCTTGATCTTCACTCCCGCAACTCAGCGCACTTTCCACGATCTGGCTCTTGGCAGGCACCAACCCGGCCAGCACGCAGCCGTCATGACCGCTTAGCCACCAGCTTCACCCAAGCACGGCCCACCCGAGCTGCCGAGCCCCATACACATCTGAGCCCGTCTGGCATCAACAGTTGGCCTGCCTCCACAACAATCCCAGCTCCCAAGCTGCCCCACAGCCCCAAACACGGCCCCAGCAAGCTTTACACACGGGCCAGGCGTAGCGATCCAGCAACCCTGCTGGGCCGGCCCCTGCCGCTTGAGTTCAAGTTCCTGGCAATCACCTTCCTCTGCAGCCCAAACTGCTCAGCTCCTCCGGCATTTGCTCAGGCTGGCCTTGCCCTTGTGGTTCTTGGGCAGCACACAATACAATTGTCGCCTCCTGGGAGCAAAGACATGGGGCCTTGGGTCTTGGTATCCTGTGCCTGGACTGGTCCATGATGGCGCCCATGTCCACCAAAAACTGACTCTCGGAACGGGTGACCACGTACTGCTGGCAGAGCACTGGGATTCTCGCCACCTGGCGGGGGTGTAGTTCCATGTTTGGGGAGGCCTCCCCGTTTGTGGTTGATCTTGAAAGGGAAAGCAAGTGTTTCTTTTGCGGTGCATTTGAAAGCCCTGTTTTCAGATGGTTTTCATGGCACAGCAACAACAACAACTTTGTTTGGGGACCCCCCCCCCTTTGGTTGGTTTTGGCAGTTTTCGCGAGGGAACCCTGTTCTTGGCTTGGTTTTAAGCGGGAATCCAACGGTTGCTGTTTTTCGTTGCACCCGAAGACGACGCCTGCGACTGGGAGATGGTGACGGTCCCAGTGCCCGCCGCTCCAGAGCTGGCAGAGGCTTCTCCGCGCTTGGGCGCCGAGGAAACCGGGGGCGCCATGACAAGCCTCACCTGGCCATCTAGCCATGTCACCCAGAGCCATGGTCAAAACATCTCAAAAGAACCCCCCCCCTCAAACAATGCACCCCACGTGGCAAATTTATGCAACGGGATGTCCTTGAAGTCTGACGTTGACCCCTAGTCAAAATCAAGTGGTACTGCCGTCCAGTTTTCTCAAGACACTTGCAGACTCCATGTTCGGGAGGGTATTCGGGGAGATGTCAAATTTATGCTTTGTGAGTTTCTATCCTTAAAACAATACGCCCCATTATTTTACAATTCTCAGCCGCCCTGCAGACTTCCTGTCCATTGGCCTCTAACCTTCTGAGCCAAAAACAAAATGCAACGCCCAGGGCACGCAGAAGACCAATAGCGCGATAATCACCACGATGATGATGAGATCCAGGAACAGCGAGCCGAAGCTTCCAGTCGAGGACTGCACGCTGGAACTCACCTGCAGTAGCTGGCCACCCCAAGCTTGGCTGATGTTGTCGATCAACATCGCTGGCCAGGTCCTTGAGTGAAAGGATGTACTTGCAGAGTGAAACCTTCTCCCCACATGTCGGAAACTTGCCGGCACAAGAAAGTGCCGGCATAGAAACGGATATCCAAATAAAGAGACACACCCTTTTGAGTACGGATTCGTGGTTGGACCAATTTTGATAGACATCAGGGAAAAGCACGGTACAGATTTTGAGCAGTTGGACCCTTGGATGAAAACACGCAAAACGAAAGGTGCGGAAACCAAGGCACAGGTTGTGTAGTGCAGGAACTGTCTGAACTGTCAAGTTCTGCTGGACCTGCAGGGCTCCGGCCCTGCAAAAACCACAGCGTAAGGAAATAGACCTTCTTAATGGCTTCCTGTGTCCACTTTTCGGCATTTTCTCAATCCACAAGAGCCGGAGCAAAGAACCCCGGAGGCTTCCTTTTGGCCTATTACATCAAAAAGAACACACCCCACATGTCTTGCTTGACGGACCTGCAAAAAGGAGACATCTAGCGAATCCGATGTGCACGAGGATTCATCGGCCAGACATGAAACGATGCCAAAGGCCTCGGCTCAGCCAGAGCTTTGGAACATCGCAACACGGAAGTGGGGTCTGCTTTTTTTGAGGCTCGGTGCCCCTTCTTTGGTTTTGAAGGAAAACCATATGAAATCCACCATTTGTTGTGGTTTCCTCCAAAAAACAGAAACAAGTGCACTCACTCCTCCATTGGAAGCCTTCCATGGCTCAACGGGATAACAAAGTGACTGAGGCAGGCACCAACAGGTGTTTGTAGGCCATGAAGAGCATCGGGTTCAGTTAAGCATGATTGATCCACAGATCTTGAGAAGAACATGCAGAAAATGCAGGACGCTTATCCAGAATGATCTGACCTGCAAAACTTGTCGCCGGTTGAAAATGATTTGTTTAAGAGATCAAACGGCAAAGGGCAAAAAGGTAGTCTGGCAATGAATAGTGCAGGAGTGTGCGGGTGACATGCAGCGACTGCACCTGATGCAAACCCGAGGACAGAACTATCAACAAGGATGTCATCGAAGCCGTTCGGGACTCCCTACCCACGGGTCTCAGGAAGATTCTGCCTGGTGTGTTTTGCAAAATGTACTTCTGGCCTCCGTCCCAGCGTACACGTCTCTGATGTCGAGCCTGAGATGCTGGAAAACCTCTGACTCAAACCTGAAGGAGTCTACCCAAAACCTGGGTTGTCTCAAACTGGTGCCTATAATCTTGCTGGTGCTCAGTGGGGAATGACCAAGGGTGTTGGGAATGAACCTAGGGATTCCCTTATTGGGGGGGCATCCCTGGTTCCCTGCTGAGCAACAGCAAGAATGTTGGGTATCCTTTGGTTTCTCTGCTAACGCAAAAAAGGTTCCCTCAAGAAAGACCAAACCATGTAAAGAACTAGATATCCGCACCTGTTAGGACTGTCTGCGAACCTTCATCTAGCCTCACATGAGCCACTTGATCAAGACCGAGGTAGATGCAGGTTAGTAAGGGGCAATCCCAGCCAGACACAGTCGCGGCCGCCTTTTGATTTGTCTTACCATTTTGACATGTGAGTCACCAACACAGACTCCATCGAAGACCAATGTTGGAGCAGGGTTTTCCAGTAGAGGATTGGCGACAATCCTGGCAATTGAACAACGCCCAAAACCTCTGCCAACATGGCCATACCGCACCTCCAAGCCAGGTACAAACCGAAACACAAGTAAAGCAGGAGCCGGGAGGTGGATTATTCAAATTTGAAAACTACCCCTTCTCTCTTTCTCTCTTTCCCCTTCGTTTTCTCTTTGGTACTGTTCTCTTTATCTTACCGTTTTTCTTCTGTTTCTATATGTTTTCGCTTTCGCTTCCTCCTCCTCCTCCTCCTCCTCCTCCTCCTCCTCCTCCTCGTCCTCCTCCTCCTCTGTTTCTCTCTCTTTGCCTTTCTTTTTCGCTTCTTCTTCTTTCTTTGTTTCTCTCTCTCTTTTGTTTTATCTAACTACGCATCCCTCTATCAATTTGCTCAATGTTCCATCTATTTATCTACCCACTTATCCTTCTGTCATCCTGCCCTTCTATCGGTGTATCCTTCCGTTGTTCTATGTCTCTGTTCGTGCGTGTCGCTTTGTTTGTCAAACGTCCAAGCGTTTATCTATCTATCTTCCTCTCTATCCCGCTATCACCGCTATTTCTACCCAACATTCTTCCTACCTGTCTGTCTACACACCGACTTCTATTTCTATTGTTCTGCCTTCTACCTTTTCATCCCCTCACATTCTACCTTCTGGTCGTTCTACGGTTTTGTCTATCAATCTATCGCTCTATCTATCTATCTATCTAACGATATAATCATCAATCTATCTATCCATCTGCCTATCTGCCTATCTACCAACCTTCCTGCATTCCTACCTGCGTATTCTATCAATCTATCCATCGGTCTATATACAAATATGTATATATACATATTACATGACTATCTTTCTTTCTAGCTAGCCAACCAACCAACTAACTAACCAAGCAGCTAGCTAGCTATCTATCTAGTATATCTATCTGTCTGTCTATCTTTCTACCTCCCCTTCTATGGCGTCCGTCCGCTACCTGGCTCGTTGGCTAGCCAGTTCGCTAGCCAGCTAGCTAGGTAGATAGGAAGCCGATTGCCTATTTGGCAGTTAGCTTGCTAGTCAACTAGGCTAGAGCTGGTGAGCTAAGAAGAATGAGAGCCAAAATGCTTGCGCGAGCGGGGAAAACCGCAAAAACCCATGAGCCTTCTGTAAAAATCCAGGAGTTTCTGATGCTGGCCCATCAAAGCGCGGAGGGTTCGCCGATTCAAAGCGGCGAAACAGTGCGCGGGGGCCGCGCCAATGGGCCCGTTGCCGAGAAAGCTCTGAGACCGTCGCGACAGAGGCGACTTGCGCACATGCCGAAGAGCTGAATTCAGGCGCAGGGCTGCTCATGTCCATTTCCCCTTTCTCGCGGCTTTTTCATAGGCTTTTCGCGTGCACGCATGTTCAGAGAAACACGACTCAATTCGCTCCAGTACTACGGAAGTTCTTCCAAAAGTCCTTTGACTAAAGTGGTCCTTTTGGAATCAGTCTTGGGCGCTCAAGCGTTGAAAGGGTGAGAGTTTTAAGCCAGCACCCCTGAGCCAAAACCCCTGTGAAGTATTGGTGAAAAATAGAAATCTCCACTCAAATGGGTGTCTCTTTTTAGGGACCCCCAACAAATGGCGGTGCTTTTGGTTTCCCTTTAAAACCACAACAGGGTATCCTCAAAAGACACATCAAACTTCGGTCCACCAAAGGTTCCATACCCATATCCCTCAAGCACACGTCAACGCGGTAAGATCGAGCGCGCCAGGTGAGATTCACGGACCTCTCACGGATTGAGATTTGACTCAGGGTGGTGTGTGTCTTTCTGTTTATTGATGTTTGTCTGGCGGGCTAAACAGTTCGTGCGTGCTTTGCTGCATTTCTCGAATTGGAAAATACGAAGCAATCGCGGGAAATGCTGGACTCGGCGGCCCGGCGGGTTTGCAGTTAATACGTAAGAGGATTGCTGCGTCTCTCATGGCTTGGGTAAACCCTGCCCAAAACCCAATCCTTAGCAATGTGGGACCGTTTCTAGAAAGTAGGAAGCGTTGTCATACCTGCCCAACGTGAATGCGCCTTGATGGAATGGCAGATAATCGTTCAACCAGCCGTTTACACGGCGTGGCGCAAGTAAGGCGGCGACAAGCATGCATGACTATGTGATGAGCACTCGTAGAACCGCATGAAATTCGGACCATCAACACCTTCAAAGAACATGCGACGCGAATAAACCACCTTTCATGCCAATTGCAAGGAAGCTTGTTAAGGTTGTATCCATTCTCCAAAATTGGGCGTGTCCTATTTTTGGAACCCCAAGAAGGCTCGAAAAAGACGAACCACCCAAGTCCACCACTTCTTGTCGCGATACGACTCGCGGGATGTGAGGCTGCGGCGGTTCAGAAGAGCCAAGTCCACTCATCGCCTGCGAAGATTGGCGCTCTCTACACTCGGGCCTGAGGGAGTGGGGATAGGGAGCCCAGGGCTTCTAAGGGCTTAAGAGCTAATTTGGGCCTCCCCCCTCCCCTCCCTCCCGGCCCAGTACAAACACACTTCGGACGAAAATGGACCCTTCCTGCACTTAGCGAGGTTCGATCCGAAAGGGCCCCGAAACTACGCGGGAGCTGTCCACCGACCAATGGCCTTCCCACTTGCCCTCAGACACCTTTACATTTGGGTCCTTTTTTGTCGAAATCTGTGGTGTCCTTTTGGTTTCCCCAGAAAAAAGACACCTTTACATATGCTCGGGCACCTGTGTGCACTCTCCGACGAACCAATCCAGCTTGCTGCTGATGCCCAGCAATTCACCTGAACGCTCAATAGTTCAATCCGGGGTTGGGTCAACTGTTCTCGTCAAGTGAGCAATAATTTGCAAGCATTCGTCGGAAAGCAGATCACACCCCAGCTGCAAGGCCAACACTTGAACCCCCTGCCCCATGAAAGTGATCGTGAAGCTTTCCCACAGTAACTTTGGGCCTCTACACCATAGCCTTCCCTGATTTCCCGGAGAAAAAAAGAAACTGAAACGGGTATCAAACAAAAAGACACACACACACATGTACTGTAGTAAAGGAGACAGGTCTCACCGTGTTGCTTTTGCTGATTGTTTTTGTTTTGCCTTTAGGACATGGAGTTCACTCACTGCTTAAACATGTGCAAGTTCCTGGCTGATTGCACCATCTCCTTTTGGTTCCCCGTGGAGTTGAACAGGGTACACCCTACATTGAAAACGTTGAACATTGACGAAAAGGGAACCCCTGTGCTGATTACTTCCCTTCCTTGAGGAAACTCAGTTCAAACTGCGAAGCTGGCGCAGTCCCGTTCAGCCAACCAGAAAGGTACAGTACCCGGACAAACACGAAGACCATCAAGCGGCACAAAGACAGGTGCATAAGCGTCGCCCAAATTGTATTCTGTTTCACTTCAGTTGATGTGTTCGAGAAGTAATGGCTGAGCTTGCGACGACTCATTTCCTCCTGCTGCGCCATCAGTTCAGCTTGGCGTGTTTGCAGCTCTTGCAGGCAGGACATGACCTAGGCCGCTGATAAAAACGCTGTGACACAAGATCACAAGCGGAGCCATTTGACAATTACGGGTCGTTTTGCAACTCCTAGTCTTACGAAGGGGTGGGTTCCCAATTGTAGGACTTCCACATCTGTGCCCAGCCTTCTTCCGATCTGGCTGTAGCTGCGCAATAGCTTCCTCGCCAACCGTGCGTCCGAGTCACTCGTCATTTTGCATTTGACAAACGCAATTGCTGCCATTTGAAAACCTCAACTCTGCTGTCTGACACGAAAAAATGCCATACCCTTTGCCGGCTGTCTCCCTATGGTAAGTCCTGGCCCCGTCGCCACAGGTCGTTCTCGTGTTTCACCAAAATGTCCTCAACGCAGAGTTGACTCCGTGTCATCTTTACCACGTTGTCGAGCAGCACAGGCTTCCCAGGGGTCAAAGGTCAAATGGGATATGCGCCTACTATATGGCCACTATATGAAGGGTAACGTGCATATATATGTATATATATATATAATATATATATATAATTATATAATTATATTATGTTCTGCCGTGCCTGGAGCAAGTGGTTTGGGGTCTATAACAGCAACTATCTGAGAAATGATGAAGTCGTGCTACACAGACATGCCAGCACCACACCGTGCGTGCTAACTAGCTTGGTTTTCAGCCATGGGGATGTGTTGGTGTTCTGAAACACCAAGTAGTTGAGACGGCCATCTTGGGGAAATTGATTCGCTGATATGCTGATATTCTCTAACCTGCAAACTCGCCCATGGCAAGCATCGCAAGTCTCACATGAATTTCAGGTGTAGCGGTCCGTTCCACCTTCCAGTGCCACCAATTCCCATTACAAATGGATTTGTGCTCGACAGAAAAAGTGCAAGAATGAGTGTTTGCCCAACACACAATCTTGCACAACTTCGGCAGCACCTCTGCGACTCCCCTAAAACTTTGTCCCGGTGCCCAAAAGCTTTGGCGTTCTACTCATTTTCTTCCACCGCCCACGGAAACACCCTCTCGACCACAATGCCATGGCAGCAAATGATTACATTCACCGCCCCCGGTTCAACATCCGCTCAACCCCACTGAAAAAACTCACAAAGGGGGGCATCACTCGCAACGGGTCCAAACACTTCGATCAAAATACTGCCACGAAACACTGCCACGAAAGGCTGCGAGGCATCCTCGAAGCGGCATCGTCATCTCTGACCCTAAAAATATGGTCATCTGCGGCCTCTTTGCTTTTTGCCGTGTCACAAGTGACACAACATGCTTCAGGGGCACAGGTAGAGCGTGCTCTGAGCTTGAAGGTATTTGCTATCCAACTCGGATCGGGTCGGACAAGACTGACATTGAGTGTGGCAGCTGACTAAATTGCTTCTCACCTATTGCTATGTCGGATTGTGTGCCTCTCCACATAATACTGGGATTTGAAAACCTAATGGGATTTGAAAACCCTGGTTGATGCATAGGGATGCCCCCTTTTAGTGTAGAACGGGTTTCTTCATCCGGGGTCGGCATGTCTCTTTATCGATCTGTCGGTGGATGGACGTCTGAGCAGTACGTAGCGCAATGGGCTCCCACCAGGGTTGTCGCTTTGGAGGAAATCGAACGCCTCGATTAAAGCCAACATGGACGTGTGGCATGGCCGATCCGTTTTGTGGAGTGCAAAAGCAGGTCCGTTCACCAACAACAACTCCATGGGTGTAAGTGTGTCGGTGGATGTGTGTGTGTGTCTGTGGAGAAACCCTTTTATCAGGTTGGTTCAAAGGGAAACACAAGGAAACCCGCACAATTTCGGGGGTGCCCTACGATTCCGATTGCAAAATCCTAACCCGGCCTCAAGCTTTGCCATCACGGTCTCTTGCAGCTGATCCTGGTAATCCCATGGAGCACATTGGGGTCGAGGGCTCAGTGCCAACTATTATTACCCTTCCCACAAACATAGCACGTGTGTACCTGGTCGTGCCTCCAAGAGATGTAATTAAAACAAATGCACCTTTGTAAATGAAACCAAAGACTAAAACCTGCGTAACCCTAGCTCTTTTTCTTGGTTGGATGGGAGCGACCTGCGGGGCTCTGCAGCCAACGAAAACCCTCCCTCCCGTCATTAGGGAGCCGTACACGTCGCCCACCCTCCGGCTCGCCCTCTTTTGATTTTTTGAGCCACACCCACCTGAAAATCCAAAACTCAGATCCCTGCGAAAAGTTTTACTGTGGGTTAAATGGAACCCCCCGCTGAAGCGACTAAAAAGGCGAAAACGCTAAGGAACCGGATGGCTGGGAGCCACCAAGAAATCCCAAAACACCCCTCTGCGTCCACAGGGAGGGTCCCGACAGCTTCAGGCGAACACTTTTCGGGGTCCTCGAGTGCCTGTGTCGAGTGCTCCATCACTTTGCCTCAGGCTGTGGTTTCCTTTTGGGATATCTTTTTCACCCCTTTGAGGGAAACTAAAAAGAACACCACCATTTGTTGGGTCGCCCCTATTTTTACACAGAGAAGGAGAGGAGTCCATGTCTTGACTAGGAAACATCAACCCAGAAGCAGCGTTTGGAATGCAATCCGACACCCCGACTGAAATTATGACATGAGCATTCCAAAATGCCCCAAGAGTTTTTATTTGGTTATCCTCACTACAGTGAATGATGGTGAAGATTGACCCTTGCTGACACTCGTTGAGCCGCCCCATGTAAATCATTCCGTTTCTAAAATGGTTTCCACTACATGCAAACCACTACCCCAGGGAAAACAGTAGCGCCTTATACTGATTGTATCCCAATAAGCTTTTCGGGGGAGTGGTTTGGTGGTATATGGTGAGAACCATCTTAGGACATGAGGTTGACATGTTGACAAGATCATGACACGGCACCGGCCTTCAGAGTCCATGGCTCCAACTCTGACAGCCTCATCCAGGGTCTCTCATCAAGCCCTTGATGCATGCTACAAGCTCTGAACCCCGCAGGCAACCCTAAACGGGGAGGCTTCAACAATACGAGCATTCTTCGTTTCTGGTAGAAGGCGCATCAACAACGAATGGCCAAGGTTTGCACTAGAAGCGATGTATACAAAGGACAAGAACGATCTCGGAGTGTTTAGACGGAGGTGCTTTTGTCCCTGGCCTCGTCCCCTGCCATGCGAGCACTCGCTGGACGGTTTCAGCCGAGCTGTGGAGCAGAGCTCTAAGCCAGCGGAAGGCTGCGAATTCTCCGCTCGTTTGATTGGGGGGTAACTTCCGCTAACTTGTGTCCGGAAACCCCCCACTTGCCCGACTCAAAGAACAAAGCTCGAGAACCGGGCGGCTGGGAACCGTCCAGATGCAAAAGTGGCCAAGTTTGTTGGAGACTTTCGGCAGGGACCCTTAAACACTTGTGGGGGTTTTCCTTCACCAGGGCAAAGCCGGGAAAAAAATCGTAACGACCAATGTTCTACCCTACTGGTTTGGTCATTTTGACGCAAGCCAGGGTTCCATTGTTGACTACCCCATTGCAGACTTAAACCCAGGCATTTCCCATTTAGGGAAATCCACCACGCCTGGGTTTAAGTCTACCTTAGGGCAATCAAAGAATGGAACCCAACCCTGCACGTTCTCCAGGGGTTGAAAAAGAAACCGCGGGAATTGCCATTAAGTCTTTCGCTTGAGGAGTCAGTCACTTGGATGGTAAAATCAAGGGGTCACAGCTACCCCGTGCCAACATGGAACCCAAAACGGGGTGGGCTTCGGGTTTCCATGTTCACACGTATGAATCATCTTCGGTTGAGGTTGCCTGTGCCATGCAACATGTAGCGAGAAGTGCTACGAGCAAATGTTAAATCGCCGTTTCTGTTCCTGCTATCGCGAAATGCTAGATGGTCTCTGTCAAGCTGCAAAGCTGTGAATCATGGCCACGCTGTACAATTTGACATTGAAATCGCGAAGCACGACCTACAAATCCTAGGCATTATGTGATATTCTGCATGCAAGCATCTAGGCCAAGTAGGCCAAGCAGCCCAACTAACTCCTGACGCTTGCAAGCATCAATTTAAAATGCTACTCCCGTCAAGTGCGTCAAGTGGGCCGGCTCACTTGGCTTCACTTTTTGCAGACGCAAGCCTCGGTGTGTGCCGAACACTGTCATAGCCTGGGATGAATGGTTTCTAGAACTGGTTGAAATGGGGGTCTCCCATTGAGGGAATGCTTCGCTTGGTCGAAACAACCCCTGGTGGACAAAATCCTTTTGACAGCAGTTGGGATTGTGGTTTGCTCCAATATCAGATCTTCATTACTCCCAACTGATGCGGCTTGTGATTTGTTTCAATGTATCCACCACATGTTGTCTCAAGAAAGTCGGACCCCCAAAAACCAACATCTAGTGTTCCTTTTGGTTCCTCTTTAAACCAACCCAAAAAGGAAATTCCTTTCGCCTCACAGGAACCACACCACGAGTCAAACCCAAACGAACAAGAACGAAAGACGGCAGGTCACAGCAGGCCTGGCGCAGCGACGCAAGGCCTGGTAGAAGACCTGCAGGGGCAAACCCCATCGGCACGTATGTACAGAAATGAGGGTGCCTCGTGCGTTTTTCTTTTGGTGGCACACCCCAACAAAGTTCGTGGGACCTCGGTGTTCCTTTTCATCTCGGTGTTCCTTTTCATCTCGGTGTTTCTTTTCATCTCGGTGTTTCTTTTCATCTCGGTGTTCCTTTTGATCTCGGTGTTCCTTTTGATCTCGGTGTTCAAATTTTGCAAAAGAATACCTTTCGCCTCCAAAGACGAGCCACCCACATTGGATTTGGAAGAATGGCCGGGGAGAACTCCTTTTCCCGGAAAAAAAGCAGCCCCAAGGGTACCAAGCCTCAAAAGACAGAGCATACCTACAATGGCCAGGCCGCCATCGGGAGAAACACACAAATACGAACCCTTCGATGCCTGCGGATCTTTGTGGATGCGTTCCGTGTACCCAAAGCGATCCATGTCCTGGATCACGCCAACACCAGGCGAGACGGCAAAGCGCAAAAACGCTTTACGGTGAGAACGACATCATGTGAGCGGTTGAAATTTACTGTTTCTCCCCAGTAGAGATCGGACAATGGGAGAATCCGCCCTGGCAAAAGACAAAATTGACCAACTGAAAACTGGAGCTCGTGGATTCGCGGGCCTGGAGGCAATCAGTCAAGTTAGCCGCCACAGCCTCGGTCCCAGGATCCCAGCCAGCTTCGGAGTACACAAGTGAGCAGCGCATCGGCGTTCCTTCGCTCGCAACACTGAGCCTGATGCCCTTGAGTTGAAAGCAAGGAAGCGTCGCAGCACCATGTCAGGGACGAACCTTTCGTGAAAGCTGGAGACCGCTCAACTGAGGGCTGGGGAAAAGCGGAAAAGTACACATGTCACCAAAAAACGCCCCCGACGCCTTCGCTTTCAATTGCCCTTGTTCCTGGAAACCTCCCGGTCCGGCGGCTCGAAAGCTGAGAGACCACACCTTTGGTTGACTTTGAAGTCATTCTCTCCAGCCATGACCACGACACAACTGCCCTCAGAAAATGCAGGGTATTCACTTGCATCGCTGCGAGCTTGATCAAATGCACCCAGACGCCTCATTCTCAGGATCCGAGTACACCAGCGTGGTCGACAAAGTCACCTGACACGCGGCAACTACCCCCCCCCCGCTGTTTCTCATGAAGTGGCCTGCATCGCGGTGGAGTGTGGGGGTGGCGACGGCACTGGCATGCCGCAATAAAAGCCTCAGCAGAAAGGCAAACGTCCGCCACGAAAAGCACATTCTGCACGTTCCAAAACGCACTATCTGTCCGGCCAGTGCTCGTGTCATCGGCTGCCGGCCTCGAGTGATGAAACCCCATGAAATACAGGGAAAAAAACACACATCAACTAGTGCAGGATGTTGTCCATTCACGGCTGGGCGGTCGATCCCCTGCTAAAAGTTTACCTTGTGGCGCGTTAAATGGAAACCGCCACGAAACTCTACAAACCTAAGAAACTGGACGGCTCCAAGACACAACCAAGCTTTCAACAACCGTGGCGTTGGTGCATCGAATGTCATGGATCGATTCCAATTTCAGCTGAGATCTCGGCGTCCATTCGACGATGTAGACACCAGGAGTTGATGACAGGGGCGCGTGGAAATCCGTGATGAAGGCACGATGAATCTGAGACAGATTCAACAAACACATCTTTTATAAGCCTCACAAGGATCTAAGGTGGTTTCAAACCACGACCGCAAGAAAAAACAGGGTTTTTAAAAGCCCGTGGTGGTTGCATCTTTAAACCTCCACAGGTGGTTGAGTGGAAACCAACGAAACGCGGCTGCGCCACCAGCGCGCTGAATCTACGCGGCACGATCGGCACTTTGGCGGTGATGCCGGTCAGCAGTGCCTGGCATCGATCCCGCGCAGTGGCTGCATCTTTTTCGGAAAAAATGGCACTGCTCAATACTGTTGATAGGGGCTCCCCTTTGCAGATGAAGCCTACCAAAAGGGCACAACTCCAATCAAAATCCACCCGGGGTTAGCTGATTCGGGGTTCCCATGACTGAATCCAGTGCCACCTATTTTCAAAACTGACTTTCAAGGACATGGCCAAAATCGCAAAGGCCGAAAGCAAGGCAGGCGAGCTGGGACGTCCTCCGACCAGTGGCAGTCACCCCCAGACACAAACGGCAGCCTGGACGAGAGATGACGAGAGCCACTTGGGCTTGCCCTTTTTTTTGGGCCCCCAAAAATGGTAGTGTCCCTTTTGGTTTCCTTTTGAAACCGGCCAAAAACGGGTTAAAGCGGGAGTCCTGCAAAAAAAGACACACCCATTTTGCACAACGCTCGCTGTCTCTGAAGAAAAAATACATGTCGGCCGAGTTGCCAGTTGGAAACCTTGTCCGCTTCGCGAAAAAGTGACACAACCTTCGTGGCGAGAGCGCAAGCAGCTCACTCGGCTTCCGCGAGAGCAACTCCCCACCTCGCAGAGAGTGCCTGGTAAAGTGACCCGGGACAGACTTGAAATCGAGGTTGAACCCGACCTCGGGAAGAAAAAACATGCGAACCCAGTTGAGTGTGTCTGATTATTCGGGGGTGCCCTTTTTGGAGGAAACAGGCTGGTAAAAAACCTGGTACTTTTGATGTTTTTTTTGCTGTTTGGTGTTTCAGGCTGGGGGGGAGGGGGATGGGGGGGGAGGGGATGGTACCGTCGTCATGAAACGCGTGCGCGCACACGGACAGACATGGCGGTGCACATGCAGGTCGTTGCCAGCCATGCCCCCAGGCACGCGTGCACACACACACACACACACACACACACTTGAACTCCAGATGGAGAGTGCTAATCTTTCGAGTACAACTGATGAGTTTCGAGTACAACTGATAAGTCTCGAGTAAGATAAGTTTCGGCTCGCGATGCACTCGGCTTCCCTCTAGTGACGAAAGCGTTACAAGATTCAACATGAAGCACACACAGCGAGAGAAAGAAGAGGGCCAAATAGACTTTCAGAATCACTCAAGAGTGCAGGTACACAGGTACACAAGGCTGATCAGGCCTTGCATCCCCTCCAGTGATGCAGCTTCGTTGGGCAAGGTTCATCACTGGAGGCCTTGCCCCCCTGCTGCAACAGAAAAAGGTTTTGGTGGCAGGGTTTTCTGCCACTCCGCACACACACGCCCCTCTACGAGGGGCGAGGTTTCTCTTTTCTCCTGCAGGAAGATCACATGCTCAAACTCGAATCTCTATCGTTGACCAAAATATCCTCCACGGCGAGGGGAGCGAGACACCGCCCTAAACCGCTCAGAAGACGGGAACGAGAGATCACCACGTTGAGCGTTGCGAGTGTCGCCATAGAGGACTGAAGCGATTTGCGAAGCAGCCGGGCGATCACCATGAGAAAACGGAGTGGCGTAGGTGAAGGTCTCCTCAACTGGAACGGCATCGGAGTTCCGAACTTGACCAAGAGATTGATCATGTGGATAATGAGTTGCGAAGGACTCAATCCGAGACAGAATGCGCTGGTACCCTTGATGTTGCCAGTCACGGATGTCCCATGCCTGGACCGGCTCATTGGGATCAGTCACCCGCTGCCATTCCCGAAAAGAATTTTCAGGTAGATCAGGTACGGCGTCACCGCGGTGCCATCGTTGAGGCTGTCCTGGAGTGTATATCCGCACCCACTCCTGATCCTGCCAGACCGAATATTCGAGCCATGGGTGCTGCTTCGAATCATCGA